ATGAACTAAATATTTGACAGAGATCGATAGTAACAGTCTCTGATAAATCTGAACTGTAAACTCCAACTCTATTTCCCATAAAAATCTCTATCCAAGCCTTTATGCTAAGTCTAACCCAAGAGAACGCCCAACTTTACTATACAACATTGTAAAGATGAGTGAAACACTAGGATTTCATAGTTTTCATATTTCATGTTGTCCCGGGTTTGTGTCGACACATCCGGCGCCTCCAGGGACTACTGTCGGTCCCAGTTTCTGTACTGTGTTGCTAAAGGTATGGTTTTACTACAAGCGGGAGGCAGTTGATGCAAAAACTACAATTAGATTACAATGATTCATTTTTGAAGGCTTTTAGGGAGGTAAACGGGTAGACGGCTCATTGATTATCATTAAGAGACGCTGCTGATGGTAAGCAATTAGTGACACCAGCCACCAGAGGAGTTTTTAGTGTGTTTTCAACCTTTCTGGAGGAGAGAAAGGGGATCCTGATTGGTTGTCGCTAATTGCTTACCATCAGCGTTACCAATAGGCCTCCGGTAACCTTACTAACACAGTGAAACACAACGCATTACGTTGTATCACGTCAGTTTTCTGCGAGGTCATGGCATCACACAATAAATCAATACTTTATTGCACTCCATACTGTATTTTAAAATAGTTGGTATTATTAGAAGATACAGGAACAATTGAGGACCCTGTCGGGCACAGCAAAAGTAGTTTTTATAGAGGAGAGGATGAAGAGCGGTTATTTAAAATTAAAAATATTGAAAGACTGCCTCGTTGACCGAGTGGTCGTAAGTGCGACTGCCGGGCAAGGGGTCTCGGATTCGATACCCGGGTCGGGTAAAGTACTACTGGGTATTTTATAAATTCTCAGTAGTAGCACGGAGTCTGGAATTGTGCCCGTTATACGGCAATAGGCTCACCCCCTATTAAATGGGACTCGTAACGTAAATAGTGAACAGTGGGTCTTACATTGCACAGAGGCATAATGTGCACCTCTACCTACCCTTTCGGGGATAAAAGGCGTGATATTATGTTATGTAATTAAATGTAGAAAATTAAAAATATTGAACATTTCAAGGTTATGAGTTAAAGTAGGTATTCAATTTATTTATATTTACTTACCTATATTTATTTATATTATTCACATTTATTTATATCTCCAGTCGAGAAAGTCCTGTTGTACTGAAGGTTCCTTGTATAACATGATATTTCTAACAGTTAAACTTAAATGTCTCGCTTGCAGTGAGACCATACGATTTCAGTTGTGTTCAGTAACAGCATATTAATGACCTGCTACAGAGGAATCCGGGCCGTTATCATAACTTCGCTAGTGATCCCTATCTTACTAGATCCTTATCAGAAACGATTAGCTGGTAATTAATAGCCTGTGCTTGTTTATTTGTCTGTTTGTTTCTGACTGCCTCGTTGGCCGAGGGGTCACAAATGCGACTGCCGAGCAAGGGGTTTCGAGTTCGATTCCCGGATCGAGCAAAGTATTACTGGGTTTTAAAAAAATCTCAGTTGTAGCACGGAGTTTAGAAATGTGGCCGGTATATGGCAATAGGCTCACCCCCTATTACATAGGACTCATAACATAAATAGTGAAAAGTGGGTGGTACATACATTGTCCAGTGGCATTAAGGGCCGTAATTTATTTATTATTTATTTATTTATTTCAATTAAATAGTATAACATTACAGTCATAAAACCAAGTAATCTGCAACTCTGACTACCCCTTCGGGGGTAAAAGACGTGATGTTATGTCATGTTGTATCTGTCTATACATAACTAGCCACTTCTGCGTGGTTTCACTCGCTCTGTTCGGCTCCTACTGGTCGTAGCGTGATGTTGCCAACACAAAAATAATTATTCAAATCGGACCAGTAGTTCCAGAGATTAGCGCATTTAAACAAACAAACAAACTATTTAGCTTTATATGTTGGTACTATGTGATATATAAAAAAATAGTTTATCCAATAAATGCTGTTTATTTGTCTTTAAGTAGGTAGTAAGATAATATTGAATTCGAATCCCTGATTTTGTAATTTTTTTTTTTAAATTCTGTAATAGTAAAATATTATTATGGTCTACAAATTAGACAGTAGCCAGCAGAAAAGATGAAGAATAAGAAATTTTCAAAATGAACACAAATTTTTCATCGCAACAATAATAGCAGTCCAATTTATAATCATACATAACCACACAATTATTCATAGAAATACTCGAATACCAACGAAATACAAATACAAAATTAAAATTAAACACACATACTCCAAAAATGATACTCATAATATATGTTTGTATTATATTTACTCAAATATGTGAGAACTATGCATTCTCCGGCGTGAGGTAATCACAGTGGAGTTTACACAAGAAATTGATGTCTCTACAAACATCAGTTACATTTCTGTCTGTCTGTTTATTTGTTTGTACAGTTTCATTTCATATCGTTGAAGGTAATACTGTGTTACATGAGACGGTTAATTGTTACTTCAAAGTTTGCGAAAGGTTATCTCTGTTTGCAAAATCCAATCTTTACTAATATTATAAAGCTGAAGAGTTTGTTTTTTTGTTTGTTTGTTTGAACGCGCTAATCTTCGAAACTACTGGTCCAATATGAAAAATTCTTTCTGTGTTGGATAGCTTATTTATCGAGGAAGGCTATAGGCTATAAATATCACGCTACGATTAATAGGCGCTGAGCAGAGCGAGTGAAACTGCGCGGAAGTAGCTAGTTGGTTAATATGTATGGAAATAGGCTCATGTTAATAGTTCCCTACTTAACTATGGACCTCCTCTACATAAATACTTAGTAATAAACTGCACGCTTATGTCATGTATGCCGCACCTTCGAAACCTACCAAAGGCAAGTACCAATGTGACTTTTTCCGAGTTATTTATTTATTTATTTATTTCTTCTTCACAAAACACAACAGTGAATGGCGGACTTAATGCCTTAAGGCATTCTCTGACAGTCAACCATAGGGAAGTACAGAGAAATGAAGTGGTTGACGCGAAGCCAGAACACAATTGAAAAAATATTTTTTTTTTATGTAATATGTATACTACACACATAAATACCTATAGAATAAATATGTATATTAATACAATATTTAATAAATCTGTATAGATATATACATACCATGTAATATATACTGCTAAACAAATACCTACTGCATAAATACTACAATATATTATATAAAAAGAAAACGTTGTCAGAATAGAGCTCAATTGTTATGAGTCTGCCAATGCTTAAGTGAATGCTCGCGGACTTTAAATTTAAAGGAATTGCGACTTGTATATATACATAGTTATATGTATTTTTTAACATTAATGAGACACCACTGACAAACGAAGTGACAAATACATTCTAGTCTACATAGTCGTATCACATTTACCTACCGTTCTGAAGAATAAAAATGATTTTATGAGAAGTCATGTTAACATTGAGGTGGACAGACGACCTGATTAAGGTCACAGCCGTGAGATACAAGTCGCTTCCTATCAAGAAGTCATTGAGGGAGGCCTATGTTTAAATTCGTAAGCTGAAGTGGCAGTGGGCCGGTCACATTTGTTGAAGAACCGACAACCGTTGGTGTAAACGTGTTCTAGAGTGGAGATCGCGTCTAGGTTGGTGGAGTGACGTCATATTAGCGAGAAGAGCTGAATACCGAGCTCAGTGACTTACCATTGGAGAGACCTATAGTATGTCCAGCAGTGGACGAACACCGGCTGATGAGGTTGATAATGATGATGAAAAATAACATTCCATTTACAACAATGATAGCCAAAGAGAACTTACTCAGTAAAGTCGTTTCGAAGTTAAATTGGGTAAGAATCTTCGTATACAGTTCATAATGAGTCTCCCTAGGGTAGTGGACCGTATCTTTGGCTCAAAGGACTGCCATCTCCCTGTTTGCATGGAGTAATGGATATACATCCCTATTTACTATAACATAAATAATTAAATCAGTTTGAACGTGCAGCGTTACATCCTTACTATATATATATATATATATTATATATATAATATTATAAATCTATAATATTATAAATCTGAAAGTGAGTTTGTTTGTTTGTTTGTTCCACCTTCACGCCGTAACTACTCAACCGATTGCTTTGAATTTTTGCAGACGTAAACTTAGAAGTCCGGATTAAATAACAGGGTACTTTTTAACCCGGAAAAAAATTGATATTCCCGAGGAAAAATGAAAGTATTGGTATAGATGGCGCTGTATGTATTGGTACATGTCACATAGGCTACTTTTTATTCTTTTGTGACGCGAGCGCGGGTAAAAGCTAGTATTAAATATTGCTTATAATTTCTTGAAGGAGGCAACCACACTGTTTGATTAGACAATGCTAGTCGGTCTCCCACACAAGAAAAGGATCTATACAAAGAAACTCGTTTATTGTAAGAGATACTCTTTTATTTACACATTTAATTTAAGTATTTGTAATACATTATCTGTGAAAATTCGAGCACAGTTCATAAGATATACAGGCAGACAGTTTGTATGTCTGGTTGTCAGTCACCAAGCTAAAAAGGTTTGAAATTGAAGCTATGATAATGATAATTGAATAATATGATATGATGAATGCATGCATCCTTAACAAACAATAGGCAGCCTACAAATGCTTTCATCTTGCTTAGGAACAAAAAAAATGGTGCATGCGGTAACGTTAAACCGCCTATAGCTTGCCGATTCGGAGTCGCGGAGAACCTAACGGGTAACCGGGGCTCCGGCTCGACGTGCAGGAGAAGGAACGGGGTGGTTTTTAGTCAGTAAGAGTCTGACAGTCGCTCCCGCCTCACCCAGGTGGGAGCAGTCATTCGATGATTTTCCCCCCTTAAAAAAAACCGCCTATAGCTTTGACAAACGCATGAATTCATCAAACGACTCAACGTGATCGATAAACTCGTGACACTCGTGAACAATTTAATGAATAAATGAATGAATATTAACGTTTACATAAATAAAATTAACTTATACTTATGATGCAGCCTTGAATAGTCGCTGTTCCCAACCATCTCGTGGTACGAATTTCAATTGGATTCCTCCAATCAGCGCAGTGATCACAGATCGAGGCTCGAAATCAACTTTTATGTTCATCCCTGGAGCAAGTTCCACTCGATATTTCTTCAGTATAGTTATAATTCCCGCTGTAATCTGCATCTTTGCGAATCTCATTCCTGAAACGAGAGATAAATAGTATAAATAATTTAGTTCCCAATCTTTATATTCTGCGGCGGTATTAGTTCGTCGTACCCGTATAAACATCCTAGCTTTTACTGGCGACTTCGCACATTTTGTACAGTTAGATAGGTGCCTAAAAGTTGCCCTAGATCAAACTACTTTTCGAAAGAATATCAGAACACGGATGTTTGCTTAACATGAGACCCATAATTTAAATCTTTTTTTAAAAATCTCTCTCTATTGTCTGTTATTTCAAAGTTAATAATATAATGATACACTTACCAATACAAAGTCTAGGTCCCTCGCCAAAAGGAAAGTACGTGTATGGTATAATCTTCTGCTTAGCATCACCCAGGAACCGCTCCGGACGAAACTCCTCTGGTTCGGGGAAATACTTAGGGTTGTGTTGCATGTGGTACACAGGCAAATGTACCCGGAGCCCTTTCTCTATCTTCAATCCTGTCGAGAATGTATAATCCTCAATGACTTCCCGTGTTATGACTCCCAGCACTGGGTACAGACGAAGAGCTTCATTAACGCAAGCTTCCACGTAAGGCAACTCAGTAACACACTCATACTTCAATACGTTATCATTACGCCGCATATAGTTGTCCACATCTTGGAACGCCAGCTCTTGAGCTTCGGGGTTTTTCGCCAATTCAAGCAAGGTGTGACTCAACGTAGTTGCCGATGTCTCAAAGCCAGCAGCGAAGAACAAGAAACACTGGGATATCAAAAATTCGTTGTCAATTTCTAAAGTCACTTTCTTTGATGCATCACCGTTCCGGTTGGAAATACTGTCGCCGGTCACTGTTTTTTGGTTATACAACTTCAACATAAGATCAACGAAGTCGTGCCTTGTTGTTGGCTTGTAGTCTCGCCCTTTAAAGGTCTCAGTCATCAGATTGGTAAAGAAATTCTCAACATCAACAGGTTGTAATTTGAAACCCAAGCCGTAGAATATGGCTGGCCAGATACTTCTTGCGACAAGCTTGAATGCTCTGAACCAATTAGTATCAAAGATGACATTACCGATTTCCGTGAATGGATTATTTTCAGTCTTCACCATTGTGCGAGTTTCTACACCAAAAGCACAATTCCCAATCGAATCCATTGTGAATTTACCTATGAGGGCTTTCACTTCAATATCTTTACCCTTCTGTACTTCTTGGTCGATCAGATTTTCGAAGACACGCGCACATTTCTCAACTAAATGGAACATATTCTTCATCTTGGCGGATGAGAATAAAGGCGTGAGGTTCTGACGTTGCACCTTCCACTTGTCGCCATAACTCAAGAAAAGGTTTCTAGTTGCCAATTCTTTTTCCGAGTAATTTGAGGTTTCACGGCCGCTGAAAAAATAGTAGTCCTTTGTCATGACGGCCTTGATTAATTCTGGATCTTGTATGATGAGCGTTGGTTCCGTGCCTAAGTAGGAACCAACATATGGTTCTTCGGGGAACATTATACATAGTTCCTGTTCAACACGTCCAAGGTTTTTCTTCTGAAGGATGTGTTCAGAGAAATTTCCCAGAATTAGTTTTGGTGGTAGATGCGGCACTTTCTTTTTCTCCCAGTATCGATATTTTCTTATTGATATGAGGTAGATGCTGTACAGCGCCAGTGGTATGGCGAGCAACAAGTACAGCGTGATCATGGTTAGAGTGTTTAGGAGTGTTGATAACTGTAATTAGTTTGTTTCGGGTATTTATAGTGTCACAGATAGATGACTATGAATTGTTAACATTTGGGACATTTTCGTGTCTGATAACTAGTGAGACAAATAAAGTTGGGTAAAATAATTTCATTTACTTACTGTACTGGTCGACTTTTCATCAGTAAGATATACGTGATGAGTGTCATAGGAGTTTTACATAAGATTTTTTTTTTCTTATATTGATCGGACATTAAGATCCCGATACAGTGGTGGTAGGTTTAACCCCTACTCTACCTACCTACGTTGAAAAAAGGTAGACATAATGTCATGTAGAAATGATTCAAGCACCAGAATGTCAGTAGTTTTTTTCAGTGCGTGTGTGATAGGTTACCACGTTACCAGATTCAAGAAAATGACAAATGTCCTTCGTGTCAATGTGTTTATGTTCTGCGTGTAAGTCAACAGTAGCCAAGTGCCACAGTCGTTGTTTGAAGAGACTGTGTCCGCCTTTTTCCTTGCCCATACTTTACATAGTACCTTAATAACTGAAAAGATGGTTTAATTATCATATATTTTTATAGCATTAGCCGGTAAATGAGCAGTCGGATCACCTGAAGGTAAGCAATCGGCGTCGCCCGTGGACACCCGGAACACCAGAGGCGTTACAAGTGCGTTACCGGCTTTTGGGGGATTAGGATTTTGAGGATTGTTATGGATTCAGGGATTGGGGAAGGGGAGGGTAATTGGGCCTCCGGTAACCTCACTCACACGACGAAATACAACGCAAGCGTTGCTTCACGTCGGTTTTCTGTGAGGTCGTGGTATCATTTCGGTCGAGCCGGCCCATTCGTGCCGAAGCATGGCTCTCCCACACTTAACATTTATTTTCACTGTTCCTGCCTTCATTTTAGGACCTACACCTATCAAAAAGGTTTTAATTATGTCTGTTACGTCAAATGAATTCTGTCCTTATTGTTTCGGTTATAATTACTGACAATGTAGTGAAATAATCTGTTGTTTGTAAATCTTGCAAGATTTTTACAAGTCACAGTGATAATTGTAAAGATATCTTAATTACATACCAAAAGATTGTAAAATAAAATTATACCTACATTGTAAAAAACAAAAAGTCTCGTTGATGAAATTAACAAAAGAGTAACTATGGAGTTTCTTGTTCTTTATTTTGCATACATATATAACTACATTTTAAAACAAGCACCTAAGGCGAATGCTACGCGCTTGGTGTCTATCGTGATATATGTATAACAAGTAATATTTAATTATAATGTAATAGAAATGATGACAGGGTATGAAAAATAAAAATCTAATTAGTCCGTTTTCTTAAATTCTCTGTCTACCTCTTCAGAACAGGGGGTTATGTAGTCAATTTAATAGAAGCAAGTATAACAGCTCACACATAGGACCCACTTAGTTTTTAGTAAAATTTCCGTGGTGCTTGGCGACTGGGCTTCACCCAGTTGTACAGTCTCTTCTTTGTGCCATTAGGCTTAATTCATTCTGTCTCCTGCAGTAATTCACCGAGGGAAGTGGAAACTATAGGTTTTTCTTCTTCTCCTCTTATAATATTTTTTCATTCACTTCGTTGCGGGAACCAAGACAGTTACTCATGTCCCTGGGACGCGCCGGACTTCAGTGTTCCGGTGTTTTCATGGTTGTATCAACTGTAGATCCTGGCTTACAGGAGTTGTAGCGGTTTTGGGAGGTTGTGGCGGGCCTGTCCCAAAAAAAAAATCAATTTAATAGAAATAAGAATAATTGATGGTATTAGCTATAAATAATTATGACCATGATTTAGAAGTTTTTAGAGTTCCGTATTCTAATACCTAAGGGTGAAACAAGGCCCGTATAACTTAAATCTTCGCAGAGTGTCTGTTCGTCCGTCTGTAAATGTTATAACTAGACTAGGAGCATTTTTTTTAAGGGGGGAATATCATCAAATGACTTCTCCCGTCTGGGTGAGGCGGAAGGGAGTGTTAGACTCTTACTGACTAAAAACCACCCTGTTCCTACTCTTGCACTTAGTACCGGAGCCCCGGCAACCCGTTAAGTTCTATTGGGCCCCATCTATGGTGGTCTGATGGCGTCCTCACCTACCGCCTGACGCAGGTCCTCACCGGACATGGAAGTTTCGGGAGGTACCTGTGTCTGATGGGGCGGGAGGAAACGCCCGGGTGTCATCACTGCGAGGACCGCCCTGAGGACACGGTGGAACACACAGTGGGAGAATGCCCTGCGTGGGCTGAGCACCGCCGTGCCCTCAGGGAAGTGATCGGCGATGGCGACCTCTCGCGTCCGGGCCTAGTGCAGGCCATGATGCGGAGCGAGGGGGACTGGGATGCCGTCTCCTCCTTTTGCGAAGCAGTCATGCTAGCTAAGGAGGAGGCGGGACGCGTGAGGCAGCGAAGCGCTGCCTCCTCGCAACCCAGCCATCGCGAAGGACACACCGGGCGTCGGGGATCGCGGGACGATCTCCGGCCACCGTAAGCGCGGGCCTGCGGACGGCGAGCATGGGTGGCTCCCCGTCCGACCAGAAACAGACCCGAGCGTACGGCGCGTCGCGGTCTGCGCGCGCCTCAAAGAGCCATCAGACCACCACAGATGGGGCCCAATAGGGCCGATGCCGATTCGGAGTCGCGGAGAACCTAACGGGTAACCGGGGCTCCGGCTCGACGTGCAGGAGAAGGAACGGGGCGGTTTTTAGTCAGTAAGAGTCTGACACTCCCTTCCGCCTCACCCAGGCGGGAGCAGTCATTCGATGATTTTCCCCCCAAAAAAAAAAAAAAAAAATGGTGGTCTGATGGCTCTTTGAGGCGCGCGCGGAACGCGACGCGCCGTACTCTTGGGTCCGGTTCTGGTCGGGCGGCGAGACACCCATGCTTGCCGTTCGCAAGCCCGCTCTTACGGTGGCCGGAGATCGTGGATCGTGAAACACAGACCCTGGGAAGGAATTTCACTCCTCAGCGGTTCGTACAAGAAAACTCAAAACGAAACGCTTCGTGCGAGCGAATAGGTACAGATGTATTTCTAGGGGCGTTATAACAAAGCATACCAAAGACAAAACATAAAATGCAGTATCTGAAATATATGCAATTTTAATATATAACGGTACGAAAGCCCTTCGAGGCTCAGTCCGACCACACTTGTTTTGATTATTCATAGTTCGCTCTTATCAAACGTGTTTGTCCTATTTATCTTAATAACACGATCCCGGCAACATTCAGTGTAATCATCCCAACTATGTACAATAATAAATCAAGATAAGAAATCTTAATTTTTTCTCAACTAACCACCCATCAGATACTTACCTATGGTGAAAAATTTGGGTGCCATTTGTTAGCAGACAAATTCGAAAAAAGTTTTAATACAACACAACATCACGCCTTTTTATCTCCGAAGGGGTAGGTAGAGGTGTATGTACATTACTGCATGCCACTGTACAATGTAATACGGCCACTTTTCACTGTTTATGTTATGAGTTAGGGGGTAAGCCTATTGCCATATACCGGGCACAATTCCAGACTCCGTGCTACTACCGATATTTTTTTTAAAAACCCAGCAATACTTTGTCCGATCCGGGAATCTAACCCGAGACCCCTTGCAATGAAGCAGTCAAAAAAGTTTTAGCAAACAACTATTCAACAGAGACCTTTGTACAAATTTGTATTGGGTTTACAAAATCGAGCTGAGGCCGCGTTGGACGCTTTGATATGTTGGTTCATTTTAACCGGCCAATCAGAGCGCCGATTGTAATCATTTAAATGAACTTGTATTAAACCCTCAGGTCACAAGATCGACTACCAAGAAGGAGCCTAGGGCAAAACATATTCTTATTTATTTAAGGGCAACAAACAAAGCATACACCAAAATATATGATAGGTTTTTAACATAATTTAACACTGTATACTTTAACAGGGTAGCCTTAATTAAAGGCTGCCACGTAATAAATTAAAGAAGTACAGGATATTACAGCAAAAATATTGCTTATCAAAAAAGACATCTCAATAATACTTGTTAATTCACAATTGTTAAATTTTTATTTTTATTCTGAGTAATAATAGTACTATCTATTCATCCAAAAATTACAGCATCGTCTTCTATTTATGGCAATAAACTCAATCCTATAATGTGAATCTCATTAGGTAAACAATGGCAAATAGTTTATAGTAGTTACATATGCACTTTTGCCAACGCCTTCAGAGGTTAAAACGCGTGATGTTATGTAAAAAACACATCAGTTCTCATTTCGTGCATTGCTGGGTAAAAAAACTCATTATAATTTAAATATTCTATTTTTAATTTGATACCTATGTTAAAATTGTGACAGCCGGACAAACAGAAATATATTTAGTTTCCCGTTTGTTACATATTATTAAAACTTTTATAATGACAGTAATAGTAACAGATTTGATTTTATAGCTAAATAATAACATGATAAGGCAGAAAAACTAATTGTTTTCAACAATGAAATGTTGCACAAGTATTTGTAATAATGAGGTAAAATTTTTCACAGTTTTCACAGTTGGTGATAGTTATGAAACTAAAGTATTCAGTATCAGTTGTGTTTTCCTCTTCAGAGGAAATTTTAATTAATTATTGTTTATTTGGTAGATACCTTTTCTATTTTATCAATTCTTTTTCTTATCAAGGATATTTGTAGAGGAGAAAAAAACAATATCTTCTTTAGTATTTTTGCAAGTTACCTAAGACAATTTTTCTCAAAGAGGTCCTGTAGGTAAATTCCGAAATGACAGGTAAGATGTCAAGCCTACTAATTAATTTTATCTTTTGTTACAATTTACATTTTACAATTTGCTCTAAAGAACAAACATCGCGTCTCAATGCCCTACATGCTGTAGTTTCCAATAGGCTGATTCCAATTAAACATAACACCACGCCTTGTTATCCCCGAAGGGGTAGGCAGAGGTGCACATTATGCCACTGTTCAATGTAATGTGCCTATTGCCATATGCACAATTCCA